AAAAAAAATACTACAGCAGGCTGGTACTGGTGGCTCATGCCTGTAATCCTAGTTACTCAGGAGGCTGAGGATCGAGGTTCAAAGTCAGCTGGGGCAGGAAAGTCTGTGAGACTCTTATCTCCATTGAATCATCAAAAAGCTAATGAAGCTGTGGCTAAGGTGATAGAGCACCAGCCTTGAGCAAGAAAGCCAAGGAACTGCTCCAAAGTCCTGTGTTCAAGCCTCAGGACAAAGCTAAATAATTAAATAAATATCAGCAATAAAATGCCAGGAGGGCAAAGATAAGGGCAGGAAGGGGACAGGAGATTTGTAAAGTATAGATAGCTGTGATTGAACAATGGATGTATAAACTGTGGATAAGTGCACTATGTGCACTATTTGGTCTTTGTAGATGTTGGAAGTTTTCTAAATTTCAGAATTAAGCCAGGCACTGGTGGCTCATGCTTATAAGGCTAACTACTAAGGAGACTGGGATCTGAGGATTACAGTTCAAAGCCAGCCTGGGCAGGAAAGTCTGTGATACTCTTACCTTCAATTAATCACAGAAAAAGCTGGAAGTGGTGCTGTGGCTCAAAGTGGTGGAGTACTAGCCTTGAGCAAAAGAGCTCAGGGACAGCGCCCAGTCCCTGAGTTCAAGCCCCAATGAACAAACAAGTAACCACATAATATATTGCAGAGTTATAAGATAAAAGAGGAAAAGGGACCCTTCCTCCTTGGGCTACCTCAGCTCTCCTACTAGATCTAAAGCTAGTGATGCTTGAGCTGGAGCTGCGAACCCTGTGTGTCCCTCCGTGGATGCCCAAGTACAGGGTGCCAACCACACCCAGCAGCTCCAAGATCACCCTGTCTCGGGGTGCAGAGAGGCTAAGCCCACCCACCCTGCCCCATCCCACTCCAGGAGCTCCGCAGCCGGGAGGAGGAGCTGCTGCGGGCTGCACAGGAGCAGCGCTTCCAGGAGGAACAGCTGCGGAGGCGCGAGCAGGAGCTGGCCGAGCGCGAGATGGACATCGTGGAGCGGGAGCTGCACCTGCTCATGTGCCAGCTGAGCCAGGAGAAGCCCAGGGTCCGCAAGCGGAGGGGCAACTTCAAGCGCAGCCGGCTGCTCAAGCTGCGGGAAGGAGGCAGCCACATCAGCCTGCCCTCTGGTACCACCCTGTGTGTGTGTGTGTGTGTGTGTGTGTGTGTGTGTGTGTGTTTAGGTACTGGGGTTTGAACTCAGGGCCTTAAGATCTTGCTTAGCTTTGTCACTCAAGATTGGTGTTCTACCAATTGAGCCATACCTCTATTTCCTGCCAATCATTTCTTAGACATACATCGTCCATTATCCTGTATTTTTCCACAGCTGTTGGTCACTTTTAGCATGTTTCCCTGTCCCTTGAATAGAGATTGCTGTGAGGGTACCTCAGGTGAAATTGCTGATACTCAGCCATTTCTGACTTAGAAAACAGATGTTTAGGTAGGGCATGGTGGGATATACCTGTAATCCCAGCTACTGGGGTGATGGAGGTAGGAGGATTGCAGTCCAAGGCCCGCCAGGGCAAAAGCACAAGATCCTATCTGAAAAGAAAGCTAGAACAAAAGTGCTGGTGTGTGTGTGGGGGGGGGGGGTTGGAAGGTGCGGGGGGGGGGGGCATAGTTGGAGTGGTAGAGAGCTTGTTTTAGCAAGTAGGAAACTTTTGAGTTCAATACTGCCAAGTAAAACCGTTTTTTAGGAAAAAATTTAATCTGGAGCTGGGCCTGTGGTATAGTGGTAGAACACTTGCCTCACTTGCCCTGGGTTTGCTCCTCAGCTCTGCACAAAAGGAATTTGTAAAGGTCTATTTGTAGATCTCACCAATTTATATCCGAGGGACAGGGGGAACAGGTTCATATGCCCAGGTTCTCCAAATACGCTTGACGGTCTCCAGTGACCAGATTGTTTAGATTTTAGATGTAGTTATAATTACACAAGGCAGGATGGAAGGCCCATCCATCGCCTGTGTTGTGCCACTCCCATTTCATGGCTACCACGTTGAGACCCAGGCCTAGCTCCTCAGCAACGCCTGGCTAGATTGTAGACCTATGCCTTACACCTGCTAAATCATGGATTTGCACTTCTAAGAGAGTTGCAGCTGGTGCCCATGCCATGAACTTGGGACTGCACTGGCTCCAGTGATCTGGGTGGCGATCCAGGCCGCCATTCCCCTGTACCAGTTGCTCGTCACACAGGGACTGGCTTGGCAAAGTCTCTTCCTCCTTGCAGGGTTTGAGCATAAGATCACAGTGCAGGCCTCACCAACCCTGGACAAACGGAAAGGCTCAGATGGGAACAGCCCCCCTGCCAGCCCCAGCATCATCCCCCGCCTGCGGGCCATTCGCTGTGAGTACCTGTGGAGCCCCCAGCAGTCAGTCAATCAACAAGGACCAAGACAGGCCCACCCCTTCCTTCCCTCATTCTTGGGGAGCACAGATAAATCTGTAGGCTGGAAATTTTTCTTTTTGTCAGTTGTGGGGCCTGAACTCTCGGTCTAGGCACTGTCCCTCAGCTCTTCAGCTCAAGGCTAGCGCTCTACCACTTGAGCCTCAGCACCACTTCCAGTTTTCCGAGTGGTTTATTGGAGAGAAGAGTCTCACGGACTTTGCTTGCCTGGGCTGGCTTTGAACTGAATCCTCAGTTCTCAGCCTCCTGAGTAGCTAGGGTTACAGGCGTGAGCCACCGGTGCCCAGCTTAGGCTGGATAATTTCTAGTCATGATCAGACAGAAGGGGAGAAAGAAGACAGTGGGGATACTACCCCTGCCTGGCCCCTGGACTCCTGCTGTGTACCGTCAGAGGGTCCCTCCTGCAGGGACACCAAGAGCTCAGCCAGGACAGATGGAGTCCCCAAGACCCAGTAATCACGCGTCTTCTCTCCCCTAGTGACTCCTGTGGACTGTGGTGGCGGCGGCAGTGGAACCTGGGGTCGCAGTGGGCCCCCCAAGAAGGAAGAACTGGTCGGGGGCAAGAAGAAGGGCCGGACATGGGGGCCCAGTTCCACCCTGCAGAAGGAGCGGGCCGGAGGAGAGGAGAGGTGCCGGTGGGGCCCCCCACCCTACCCCGTGCCCTCCCAGGCCCTGCCACGGCGGACACCCCTCATGTCTCTGTACCCTCTTTAGGCTCAAGGCCCTGGGGGAAGGAAGCAAACAGTGGTCATCAAGTGCCCCCAACCTAGGCAAATCCCCCAAGCACACCCCTATCGCCCCTGGCTTCGCCAGCCTCAACGAGATGGGTAAGAGGTTGGGGTGCTGGGGAGGGGCCAGGACAGAACCCAGGGCGGGTGGGCATACTTGGGTGGGGGAGGTCCTGGTCCCCAGGGGGTGGGGGTCGTCAAGGAGCACCCTACCCCGAGACTTTGGAGGGGGGAGAAAGTTGGGAAGATGGGAGGACGGTGGTTAGTGAGGTTTGGAGGTCACTCTGGGTATGCTTGGGTGCCTGGGCTGGGGGCAGCCAGTGATGGCCTTCTCGGGTTGCAGAGGAGTTCGCAGAGGCCGAAGGAGGCAACAGCGTGCCACCCTCCCCCTACACCCCCACGGCGTCCTCGCTGGCGGTGCCGCCCCCCGAGCCCGCCCCGTCCC